GCCTTTGAGTGAGGCAAACACACACTGCTGGTGATATTCTCAGCCTGAGTTGTAAGGCAGCCTGATTTAAAAAATAAAACAAAATTAAAAACACACTAAAAAAATACTTATAATACTTGTTTTGAACAGCTGGTCTCTAGATTCCAGAGATGCTGGAACAGTGGTGAGAGAAGAGATCATGCTGAAATTGAAGAGGGGAGGAGCGCAAAGCTACATCCTTGCATATGCATAAAAGCATAACAAGTTCGATAACCTGTTGTGACTTGATGTAACTGGGAACAGGCTGTAGACTTGTACAAAGAAGTCATTAATTTTCTAGTCCTGCAGAATTCTCAACAGAATAAACTGCACGTGAGGAATATGTGGAAACCAAATTTGGAAACTGTGGCTACCAAACACTGTGAGAGAGAGCTCAAAAATAAATGTAAAAAAATATTATTTTTATCTATCAGGATGATCTTACAGAGGAAAGAAGGAAGACTTAGCATATAAAAACCTGAAGTCTTCTCTCCCTTTACTAGTATATTGGTAGTTGTTCGTAATAATTCTTTTGACCAGTGAATCCTGATGAGTACATCGATGACTATGTAGCCACTACCTGTAAACACTTAATTATATGTTTGAGAGAACAGTGAGTACCATGAATTTACTGTGGTTGCACATGTGACGAGAGCAAAAAGGTATTTCAGACTCAGTGTCTTAGATGATGATTTCTAGCGTAGTCAGCTTAGAAGAGCAAGCTGCAATGCCATGTGGTTCATTCATTATCTGTGATAGATACTACGTGTGGTTACTTAACATAGCTGATTATGATTGCTTCATCTTCATTAACTAATTGTGAGAAAGGAAAAGAATCCATCAAATACTTTCCAAAATGTAAAATAATTATAGTACAATTGTGTCCTACTTGGCTTCTTAGCACAGCCAAATTGGAGATGAATTAGGCTGTGTGGGTGTTGTTCCAAAGAATCTAAGACCTGTTTTTCAAAGATGCCTTGTTCCTCTATCTCCTTCAATGTGGAGTACCTGGTTTTACACCTATGTTCTCATTTTTAAACGTACCTTGTCCCTACTGAAGGTGACATTTTTGACTGGGGGTGGGTGGGGTAGTGAAACCCCATTACATGAAATGGGGAGAAAAACCAATTCTTTCAAGTTTTTTGATGTATAAAATGTTTTTCCTCTGGTAGAAGTGACATTTGGTTGGGAATGCTGACAACGCTTGCTAAGGGACAAAAACAGGTGTAGTTCTGAAAATGATTAAGTCTTTAAGATGACAGTATCGTGTACTTCTGGATGTTCGTAGTGCAAGAGTGTCTTCTGTTGCTTGCTATTGCGTTGGACTAGTTTTCCACTCAGAATATGTAATGCCCGTTTATATAAACTTTTTATATGACAAAGGGAGAGTCCTGTGAGATAGTGTAGGCAGTTAAAAAAAAAAAAAAAAAGAAACAACCTTTGCTGTTGTTAAACTACTAGCAAAGCGCACTCCTTTCATAGTGGGCTGTCACAGGCAGTGGGTAGATGGTAGAGGGAAAATGTGGATGCAGTCAGGAAGACTTCTCATTCATGTACTAGTGTAGAACATTAGAACTGACATTTTGTGAAGTAATTCTCTTAGCAAATGTGAGAACCATTATGGGTTTAGTTTTAGCAAGAGACAACAGGAAAAAAACATGTTTGCATTAGCACAAAGCTTTCTAGAAATTGGTTTTCTCCATCTAGATAAAAATTTGAGATAGCTACGCACTCTGCAGTCTTGGTGTGTGTTAGCCAAGGAGCACAGGAGAGACTTAATACTGTTGTGAAAGATAAAGCCTGAGTAGATTCTAGGAGTAGACCTTAGCAGACATACTGCTCAGAAAATCATTCTAGTGATATGTTACTAAAGTTGTGGTGGTTTAAGGACAAAGGCAGGAGAAAGTTCAGAAGCTCAGTGGGCTTTGTGGTCATTGAAATTCATACTTTTCCTCTGACCTGTGAGAATATAAAGTACAGGTGGTATGTACTTTGGTTTTGAGTTCTAGGCATGTGAGAAAAGTCAGTCTTCCATCTGAGTGTGCAGATGGAAGATGCCCTTTGTCAGGTTAAACCAAAATCCGCTGTTGTGCAGATGCATTACACGGTGAGGTAACTCAGTGATAATTTCCTGAAGTGTACTAGCTGTCCACTTCAGAGGAGGTTTTGTTGTCATTCAAAAGGTATACCTGCATGTTGTCATTGACACCATGGATGATTAGACATGGAATTAAAAATTCTGGGAAATAAAAATCCTTAATTGTTGTATCTCTGTGATCTGCTC